ACTTCTACATAAAATTGTTCACACTTTTAAAGAACCTTCTCTACTGCACACAATCATTTTTACAAGTACAACCAGCAAATAGGTAGTTTGTCAGGAATATTTATAAGACTGCTGTTCAAAGGACAGAAAAATAAAATAAAATTAGAGTCCTTGAGCTGTGGTGTAATCACCAAAGTACAGCTACTTGAAATTAACTATAATCCTTTCACAAAATGGTACTTTGTAAAAAGGTTAAGATGTGTTTATCCCATAAGGAATTCTTTTATAATTTATGTATGATTTAGACTATTTTTTAGAAAAAATACCATTCTCACAAATAGCAAAAGATAGCCACGTTGGTCCATAAAAAAGCACTGCAAAATGCACATTTGGGGAAAAAACTTCATTTGGACAAACCTGAATGAAAGCGTTACAAAATACCATACAAGCTTTTGAGTTTTGTTTTGTTCTCTCCTATTTGTACCACCCAGTCTGATTAAGTGTCCTACATCCAAAAGTTTGTATTTGCATGTGCCTAATATTTTTGACATCTGGTTGGTCCAAATAAAGGTACTGCCTAAAGGAATTGCTCATCTGTGATATTCAGCCCATTCCCATGCAATTAACTCAGTGGTAAGTTCCAGAGCTCAGTAGACATTATGTAGAGGATTGAGTCATCATTTCAATACCTACTGGTAAATCGGTGCAGGATATGCCTATATGATGTTTATATAAGACAGGGAGAAAGCATGTGCAGATATTATGTATTCTAAAAATCTTTGCTTGTTAATTATGCTCCCCAACCTACTGAAAAGTTTAAATCAAACTTGTTTGATTTTAACAAGGCACTATAAACATGGACGCCCATAGGTTTACTTTACAGTGTAACACTCCTGAATTGTAGAAAAAGCTAAATATCATTCTCTACATAATGACTTCACAAAAAAGCCTATTTCAAATTACTCCTTTCCACCTTAAAGAAAATAAGTATTCCCTCTAATGCCACTCATGTTTATGTAGCCAAAACCACATCATTCATGCAAAAAAAAAAAAAAAAAAGAGTGTATCAACAGATTTCAGGGTTTACAGGGGTATGAAAAATCAGAAGGACAAACTTTCTTCCCCCAAAAGAGCTCAGTGATAAAACAGTAGTAGCAAATGCTGATAGACCAAAAGGTTAAAAAAAAACATGACAACTGAGAGGGAGGGCAATGTAATAGAGTAGATGGACAAGGAAGCGAGAGAAAGAGACACAGAGATAAAAAGTGTAGAAAACCATATCATTGACTGGATGGGTAATACTTGGTTTTTACTAAGAAGCAATTCTAAAACATTTCCAGCAACAAAAATGAAAGCTACCAAAGATACCAGTTGAGTTTCACAAATTAGACTGCAGTTGGGGTGGCACAAATGTGTCCACCCATCCCACCTTCAGGAAACATTCGAAACAGAAAAATACAGAACAGTGGCGGGGGAACTGGGGTGGCCAGACCTTTGAAAGAAGCCTATGGGACTATACCACCAGATACACATGCATGTAAGAAAAAGGTAGCAGCAAATGCAGTGTAACCCAAACGAATGCACAAGTACACTAAAGCTGAAGGTCAAAAAATTACAGGGTAACCCCCTCCCCCACCCCGCAACAATTCCATTATAACTCTGTAACATTATAACATGCACTATTGAAATCTTGTGGGAGGGGGTGGGGATGACAACTGGATGGGAGGGGGAATAGAATGGAATAGCTATAAACAAATGGAATACCAAGAAAACGATCTCATTGTCTGGAGAGGTCATTTCCTGTGTCACAGTAAGAAGCTATTTTTAAATGTCCCCAGGGACTAAAATGAGAGCTATAGGAGAATTTAATGTCTCTGAGATAAGGCACCAGTGTGTCTATCCCAATCCCCAAGGGTGATAGAAAAGAACAGAAGTCCTGCTCTTTCTGGTTTGGTTATTTAGTGTGAGCCATTGTTTTTAAAACTCTGTTAATGTAAATTCCAAAGTAAATGCAGTTTATTCTCTGTACAACAAGCTGGAAAGCGGAGTCAGAGTTAAGGTAGTCTTGCAATGTAGTTCACATCAACTACTGCAGGTGAGGATCTCAATAGCTTACAACAACCCAGCAGTGTTGTCAAGCAATATTAGATTCTCCCTTCAACATAAGTCAGGGGTTTGGCTGAGGTCAAATAAGCATAACAAACATGCAGTGTCAACCATTGTGTTTACATTACATTACAATGCAAGTTGGGCTAAGAGAATAGTATACAACAATCCTATACCATACTTCACCATTGTACCCATACTGCATGTTGGAGATCTGTGATGAAAAACAGAGAGTAGTTTACAGCTGCCCTTACAGTTAACAGATGTAACTGTTATTACAGAACAGAGATGAGGCTAAGGCTGGTTTGGATTTCCAGTAAAAAATCTGTCTCTTAAGTCAGCCTACTTAGGGGCACAACCCCACACGTTTAGACAAAAATAAGGTATGGAACACTAAGCATTGCTGGCCCTGGGGGAAGTGAGCATTGAAGGAATTATTTCTGTCTAAATATGAATAGGATTATGCCCAAAATTAACACTGATATTCTTTTAAATATAGCCAGATTCTAAAGCAAGTTCAGAAGAGTTTAATGGAAATTATTTCTTGGTAAGTATGCAAAGGATTTTAGGCTTAAAAGAAAGCAAAGCTGTTATGATTTCAAGTTAGTATACTAAGTTCATAGATTTATGGCCAGGGAATGTTGGGAGTTATAGGGCTTTTTCCTGTCTGAACATGTATAGGATTGCATCCTTACAGATCTAAAATGATTTCTTAGCACAGGCAGAGACAACCTCATCTGAAACATAAATTCCACTGCTTCTTGGAAAGCTTGAGGGGGCATTCCTATGGACATTTAGACAGAAAAGTCCAACAAATCCTCAACCTCAGCTAGCATGGCTTTATGGTAGGATGCTAGAAGTTGGATTGTACATAAATTGCACCCTTAGCATTTTATAAGAATTGTTTTGCTTAGTTATTTAGAAAATGTGTACCTTGCCCTTTCAATAATAATTCTCAAAGCAGAGAACAAATATAACAATAAACAGTGTTTTTTAAATAATAATTCTATTTGAATCAGATAAGCAGAAAAAGCAAATATAAATGAAGCATCCAGTAAAAACAGATAAATGGCTTCTGTCCAAACAAATATTTGAAAGTTCATTTAAAAAAGCATTATTATCCCAAGTCTGGTGAACCTGAAGTGGTAATTGGTTTCAGCAATTTAGGATCTACCCTGAGTAAGCCCTTCACAGTAGACACCAACCTGACAGAATATGGAACTGAGCAGATTGTGTCTGCCAGTTTCTACAAAGCAAAAGCTATACGTAACACATTTTAGGTGTTTTTGAGAGAGAGAGAGAGAGAGAGAGAGAGAGAGAGAGAGAGAGAGAGAGAGAGTTCCTAGAGCTACCAGTCAAAGAATTGCATTTTGTCATCTTTAATGTCCTCCAGCTTGCTTGCGAAATAGAATCAGCAGTAGAGAGACATGAAAGGGCTACAACTGTAAGACTACATCATCTGCATCCCCATGTAAAATTATGTGGGTGTGGCAGAAGCTTGAAACCAGAAAAGTTTTGTTTGCCTGGAAGCTTGGGCCCTTTATTTCCAGGCAGACAGAGCTGTAGCTTAAAAGTTATTGGGAGTACCACTGATCTCAAAAGGACTGTATTCCAAAGAAATATGTAGCTGACTGGTTTGCTTATCATATATTAATAAAAAGAGCACAGAGCCCTGTGGTATCGTAAAATCTAGCAAATGAATTTTAGAATAAAGCTATTGTGGAATAGCCTAACATGACTATCCTCTGTAAAAAAATAATATGCCATATTTAACTCTAACCAATTTACTTTTACGTTGCTTCCCTGGCAATAATTAACCGGGGGCGGAATTGGGGGCTGTTTTAAATTCAGTGGCCAACTTCAGTTCATGTTCATAAGTACTTTAAAGGTAGGAACTCTTAGTAACGATATGCAGTTAACCATATACAGAATTTAGCTAACAGCTGCTTGCCTCCGACAAAAATTCTACAACGACTCATGCCAAGATTTGTACGTATTGCACAACCTTATAGGAAACACACTTAAGATCAGTCTTTTCCCCTCTATGTAACCGTTCCACACGACACTACCACGCACAGTACACCTGCCCTTCACAGTATTCCTGCAATAGGCACACGACCAGAAGCACTGGGTATCCTGGCGCGCCTCGGTCGGGTCTGCTTCTCAGCGGTTGCCTTCACCGTTTTCAAAAGGCAGGCGAGGCTGCTGTTCAGGACAACAGCCCTTTATTTGGCTTAATGAATCTTATTTTTTGAGACCTCGCGACTTTTCTTTAGCCCCTGCTTAAACGAAAGCAAGCCAGTGAGCAAAAGGAGCGGTCGCCGGACGAGCCCTATTTAAAGAGGAGGCGCGGGAGCCGGGAGTCACGTGACACGGTTCCTGGAAAGTTCTTGGAAAGCGGCCTTTGCATTTTTACCCTTCGAAGGCGCTGCAAACAAGCCGGAGGAGAGGAAGCGGAGGAGCGCCCTCGACTGGACGCCGGCGCAGCCGCCAGCTTCACTTTCGATGCGTCTCCTCCTCGAACCGAACGAGGTGTGTCCAGTTGCCTTATCTGTGAAGCGCACGAACCTTCCCCGCTCCACCCCGCCTCGTAGCCAGCGGCGAGCAGCAACCCGCTTTGCTTCCCGCAGAAGCTCCGGAGCAAATTAATAGAAGGCAGGGAGCTGCCCCGTGCGTGCATTCTGCTCGCTTCGTTATGCCTGCCTGGCAACTCTGCCCCCCCGCCCCCTCCAGCCCTCTTTCGCAGGCCGGGCAGCCGGGTTGGCGCCCGCGCCAGCGAGAAAATCCCTCTTGCCAGCCAGGACTGTTCCCTGCTGCTGCGACTGTTGTTTGTTCGGCGTCACCGCGTCACTGGAACGTTTCCTGCCCCTGGTGGTAACAACCCTTGCAGAGAATAATAACCTGGGCTCGCCTTGCCTGCTGAAAGCAAGCTGGGCGCTTGCTCTGCTTTCCGCGGACACGGCGTAGGTTCCCTTTTGTTAGTTTCTCTCCCTTCGACTCGCAGTGAAAGCCAGGTTGGGCACCGCGGCTGGGCAGAGGGAGGGAGAGAGGGAGGGCGGCGTTCGTTCGTCCGTCCGTCTCTCCGTTTACAACAAACCCAGCCCTTAAAGAGTGTGCGGGGAGGAGGGGAGCGGGAAAAGCAGAGCCAAGCATCTCCCGTCAATCTGGGCTCCGCTGGCGAGGGCGAAGGTAGAGTCGGGCTGAGTGCGCGCGCGGCTCGTGGCTCGCTGCTCGCCCCCGGGGCCGCCCACCGCGTGTTTCCTCGACAGCAGCCAGCCTGGGAGAACGCGCCGCACCTTCGAGACAGCCAATGAGCTGGATCGCGACCTCCCGGGCCTGGCCCAGGTGCTGCTAGAGAAGGCGACTCTTCCCCGCAGGTTGCTGCAGGGGGAGCGATCCCCATTCCCTGTAGCGCGCAGCGAGGAAATCAGGACAAAGGAGCGTTGCGGGGAGGCAGGACGGAAATCCTCCCCGGGGGAATAAAAGGGGCATATTCTTCAAGTGCAAAAAGCCACCTCCGGACAGCGCGATTCAAGGGCGCTTTTAAGCAGCCGCTAGCTCTCCTTGCGAGTTGCAGGTTGCTGCGGGCGGGATCCGGATGGGCTGGGACAGGCGCCAGGGCCTGCTCCGTTAAGGGCAAGGCGCTCCATGCTCTTCCCCTCACGCGGTGCTTCCCCCGTCTCTGCCCCCAAATGACCCTGCGCTCGGCCGAATCCTCGGATAGCACCGACAGGGCTGGGCCCCAGTGGGAGGCTGGGGGAGCAGCAGCGGAGTCTTCCGAGGTGGAACGTTTGAACTTGGCCATGCGGGAATTGAGACGCGCAGGTAAGCAAGCGTTGGGGACAACGGCGCGGGAGGGGAAATTTGGGGAGGCGGGAGCACGCCTGAGGGCGCTGGATTGCCCCTGGCGGAAAGAATGGTCTTCCCATTCATCATGCAGTTCAAACGACAGACTGTGGCCCCCTGGAATCGGACTGGTTCTTCCAGTGGTGATGGGAAAAAAAGGAGCGCATTAAGCTCCACAAAATTAAGCTCCAGAAAAGAGACCTGGTTGGGGGCGCCTTGTAGTTCCTGAAGCGGGAAGAAAAGAGTTGTATACACGTACCTTCAGGGCTGCGCTGGGGCGGGTGGCAAGGAGAGCGCTTTTGGACTCTCAGATAACCTGCAGAGCTTATCGTTCGTGTCCCACTTCAAGTGTAGTTTGCAGCTTTTCTGCAGGTTGTTACTCCAGAATAATTTACAGATCGGCCTCCTTCTAAGGTATAACGGCTCTTTCGACGCGCCTTAAGATTCTCCACCTAAACTGACCCAAGAAACAGAACGGAAAGCCCCCCTCCTCCGCATGTACAGTAGTCATAATTTGGGGTTTGAGAATGGAAAGAAAATGAAAAATCCAACTCGATATTTTTAAACAATATGTCTAGAAGTATTCCGCAAGACTGGGAGACATATAACAAAAATCCTATATGTGTTTCCTCAGAAGACCCATTATGTTCTGTGAGACTTACCCCTGTGTAATTATGTCTAGGGTTGCAGCTAAATTAGGTGTGAATATAGTCTTCAGGGGATGTTCTCTTCAAGAGACAGCATTGCTCTAAATAAAATGGTTAGTAAAATGTAGGGCAGCCTTTGTAATAGAGTTGTGGAATATTTTTTAATGTGGAAATAAAATTGTGCTTTGAGTGAAAACAGTTTAAGTTGTTTAGTATAGCAATTTAGCAGAATCCTTTTTGATAAAGTCTTGAAACATTTCTTCTTTGTAAGGCTCTTTGAAAGACATTTTACTAGAATTTTGCTACTTTGTCATGGTAGTTGTACCAAGTTTAAAAAAAAATCACTGTAAAAGAGAAAGCCTATTAGTGTGAAATGTAAAACATTACAAATAGCCAAATATGAAGGTATTACATATATGAGAATATTTGAAGTTACTACATGAAAAATGCTTTTGCTTCCCCATTTACTGTGATTTTATTTTGACTAAGAAAGATAGGTTTGAGCCCCTCTGCATCTATAAAGATTATTAAAAAGTGTGCATAAATTTGCTTATGTCAGAAAATTAAGTTTTCTGAGCAGGTGCTGTTAACAAAGTAAACATAAACAGAAATGGGCAGACTTAGGTATTTCTCCCATTTTTAATAGCACATGTGCTGCAAAATTTAGTACCTGTTGATTTAGAAGTGATCCCTATAGAGTTTAATGGGAAGTGCACATAGGAATAGAGCCTTAATTAGAAATTGTCTGTCCTTGAGATGAATCACACATATTCCTATTTTTCTAGAGGAAAATAGTGAGGATGGTGGGCTGCTCAAGAATCTTCAGCAAGTGTTTGGATCGGCACTGATTTGAACTGCTAGTTTCCTATGAATGTGTTACCATGATCCACACTAAAATATTCCAGTGCAGCCAGCTTGCCAGTATAAATCTTGCTGAGTCTAGTGGAATCCTATATTTCCTGTTAAGATTCTTAAATAATTCTGTTTCTCCTTTTATCAGGATGGTACTGGGGTAACATGAGTGTTGCAGAAGCCAAAGAGAGATTACAGGATACCTCTGAAGGAACTTTCTTGGTCAGAGACAGCTCTCACTCAGAGTACCTGCTTACTATTTCAGTCAAAACATCAGCAGGACCTACTAACCTGCGCATAGAATTTCAAGATGGTAAATTCCGGCTGGATTCTATTATCTGTGTTCGATCGAGGCTCCGGCAGTTTGACAGTGTGGTCCACTTGATTGAATACTATGTTCTTATGTGCAAGGATAGAAGAACCGTTTCTGAAATGCCTTCCAATGGAACAGTCCATCTGTATTTGAATAAACCCCTATATCATTCAGCTCCATCTCTACAACACCACTGTAGAGTAGCTATAAACAGATACACAAATAAGATCCAAGAACTTCCTTTACCAACAAGACTGAAGGATTTTTTGAAAGAATATCAATATCAGGTATAAATATCTCTACTCTGCCTCTTTTTAAACAAAAAAAAGTCTTGAATGCAATTGTATGAAATCAAGGTACTGAACTCGCAGCTGCACAAATGAACCATGTAAGTTACTGTGAAAATAGTAACAGGTTAACCATTTGGGTGGGGGAGTGTTAGGGGAGGGGGATTTAGATAGAATGTTCCATAGTCAAAACTTTGGTGCAGAGCAATTTCCCTTGTAGTTCTGTGCACCTGATTTGCACTAAAATAATGTCCTGCCTTTTATACATGCTTGGGTCAGGGTTGCATCTAAAAGATACCTCCTAATAGTGAGATCCAGTGAAATTTCTCATTGCATGAAATACTTCTAAAGCTCAAATCAAGCATTATGTGAATTACAGAGCCACCCTTGAAAATCACTTTTGTGTGATGGAGGTAGGACAGTTAGTCCATGAGTTTCATGCCAGCTGTATTACTGTTAGTAGTCATGACTGAAATCAATACAGTACCTTGGGGAAGAGTCGCATTTTCTCAGTGATAAAATAACTGTGGCTCTGACTACTAGGAAAATGCAGTTCCTCACACCAAAAGGGCTAAGGTAAGAATAGACATCTGGATCCCATACAGGATGTGCATTTAGGGCACTATAAACTGTTATAAAGTCTTCTAGGGAACCTAAATTTTGGGCAATACCTTTCCCGCCTGTATAAAATAACATAGAACAAATTAACGGAACTACCGGCAATAAGTTAATAGCCTGTTTTTGAAATATGTATTTGATGTTTCTTATGATGTATTGTTTCAATTTGAATTGCAGTTTACTCATTAGGCTAATAACTTGCTGATTTTTTTTGAACATCACAGCTCCATAGATCATAGGGGATTTTTAAAAAAATTTTTACAACATTATAGTGCCAGAGTGACATGTCATATCCTTTAAAAAAATGACTTAACTGCCCTTAATGCACATGAATAACATGTGAAACCTACAGGCCAAACTTTCAATTTTTACTAAAAAGGAAGCATGCTTGGAGTTGCAGCCAAAGCTTGTTTTCACTGGGTGTGGAATAGATGTGTTCAGGAACAGACTGTAAATGAGCTATCGCACTGAATCAAAACTAATAACTTCTGCCCACTTTGTACTGAGCTACCAGGATCTCCTCTCTGCCGATGGGTGCTGTTCAACATATGGTAACCTAGTTAAAAGGAACCTTGTTTCAAAACAAATTTCAAAGCTTGATTGAATAAGCAAATGCTCTAGCATCTTTCATAGGATAGCATATAAAGATCTTCAGTCAGCATGTCAAAAGCCTCCTGTTTTGGTATAGACCCATTTATTGCCTATAATAGGCCTTCCTGGAACGAGAGTTCATAAATGCCTAGACTGCACTCTAGGCTGTTAGGGTTTCCATGCCTGAACATGGATAGCAGCAATTATAACTACCTTCTACAATGTAGAATTTTTAAAATTCTTATTTCCTTGAAATACAAGCAAGTTTGCCTGTAGCTGTCTGATTTCAGATTGTATTCAATAAAGCAAATGGCAGAGGCAATATTTTCTTAATGTGTTTTGTATATTTTGAGGAAACTTACACAGTCTTACAAGTGCCATTTTGTTTACTTAATTGCTGTCTTCCTGTCAAGTGAGAAATACCTGTTAAAGATAAATCTCATTATGCTACACATTATACAATTATTCATATTCAAAAATAATAGTTGGCTAGCATTCTGGGTGGTAGTACTAATCCTGTAGCAATTTCTGCACTCTACATTTCTTACCATTTATTCCTACAACATGAAAGTATAGAAATATTAAATGTGTTTTTAATTTCCAAAACTGAAATATTTCTGCAGGACCCACTCTTTCCCAAGTTGGTACCACCCAGAAGTATTGGACTACATTATCATCCTCCTCATCAAGCACAGGCCATAGCAATTTTAATCAGGTACATCTCGGGGGCACCAGACTGAGGAAGCTTAAGTGTTATAGTAGCATTCATGAAGTGAAACTCATGATGCTAAATGGCCGGTGGGCAGTCTTAAGGACATAAGGTGATCACTACTGGATCAGCCCAAGCTCCATCTTTTCCAGCATCATGTTTCTACAGTAGCCAATCAGAACCTTCTGGGAAAACCACAAGCAGGCTATTAAGGAAATAACTTTCCCCCAGGATTGTTTACTAGCAACTGGTATTACATGGCATGCTGTCCTGGAACCTCAAGTTTGACTAGAGCTACTTAAATCAACTGACCATAAGCATATGCTGGACTGAAATTTATACACTAATTACCCCTTATGTAAAGACGGGCTTTCTTTTGTTGATCCTAAATTTCATGCTAATCGGCGGGGGGGGTTTGGTATGAATGACAAAAAAATACATGGCTGTCTCTTCTATGTATATATTGGCTACATATGGTAATTCGTTGCAGTCCTGTGTATTTTATGCAGAGGAAGGTCCAACCAAGTTCAATGGAATTTACTCTTTAGTAAGTTGGTTAGTTTTAAGTTAGGATGCAATCCTATGCATGTTTAGACAGGAAAAAATGACTACAGCTCTCAGCATGCCAGCTGGCCCAGACATGCTGAGAGTTGTACAACTTGTTTCCATCTGAACATGGAATAGGATTGTGCCCCAAAAGTCTTCATAGTTGCATCTTAACTTTTTTCTTTCTGGTCTTCATTCTCATATATATTTAAATATTTGATGCCAAGTGGGGGGAGAAGTGGTCAAACTTTACTTATTTTTTCCACTGCTTTTCACTGCCCTTCTAAAACTTCAGAGGTAAGAATTGACTTGAAAGATTACACATGGAATGAACATGTAACCAGTCTTGGTCATTTGTGAGCATGCATTTGTGAGAGTGAATTCTGAGTGATTATAGATATAGCCAACAGCTATTTCTGAGATTGCTTCAGTGATTTCTTCCAGATGCTGTATTAATGGAAGTTATTGCTAGCCATATCTGATCATTCAGTTCACATACTACATTTGTTAAAACCAGTCTGAGGTTTCTGTGAGTTGTTTTCTGTCTGTGGAATCAGAGGAATGGCCTGTGAGCGGTAAAGGGTTCACAACTTGAGATAACAATCCTTCAGAAGACAGATGCTCATCTAGAATTTGACCTCACAAGAAGGGAGATCAGCTGAGCTTAGTACATCTTAGAATCTACTGGGTCCTTCAAAACTGTCACTCATGGGAAAGTGCAGCTTCCACTAGGAACTGACCAATCAGGAAGCAGGAAGGGCTGCCTACGGCCTGGCTGAACTTACCCAAAGAAAATGTAAAGAGATAACACTGACAAATAGCAAAGCCTATTCATGTGCTAACTTCAAAGTTTGTGCATGTAAACACATAAAATGCCAGGATCACTGCTTTAGACAAGGTGTGTGGCCTAGGTGTCTGGGTGACATTAATTTTATTTGTTGCTTCAAACCACAGAATGTAGTCTGGAAGCAACTTACATAGACATACACATATATAGAAAACCATAATTAATGTAACAGAAAAAATAAACTATATTCAGCACAAAGATACAAATAAAAATAAATATTGTAAAAGCAATGTCAATGGATATGTTAAAATGAGCGAAGTCCAAGTTAACGGTCCAGATACAGAACTGCTTTTCTGAAAAGAGCTATGTACAACCAAAATAGGAAGAGACTGATCCTGTCACTGGTTTGTTTCCACTGTTGGTCTTACTTCGAGTAAAGCCAATTAAAATAATGTGGTTTATTTTAGATTAACACTGAATGCAACCCAAAATGCTGTCTCCTTTTTAACATGCAAGGTATTTCCAAGTTGTAAAGTTCTTAAAGTTGGTTTTATCAATTTGCCTTTCGAATAGGCCAAATGCATGGAAGGAAGGGGCAGAGAAATAGCATACATTAGGAGCTACATTTCAGCAGGGAATATGCCAATACTGTCCTGTAGGAGAGTATGAGTTGCGGAATTTGGGGTAGAGCTATCTTGTGGCATAATCAAGTTGGTATGAAGATACCAATCCTGGAGTATTATACCACTGTACTTAACAGGTAGTTCCCCTCAATCTTACACATATGCACATTTCTGTATTCAAAAGAAGCTCACTGGTTGGTGAGAACAAGTATTAGAGCATCTTGCCCATTTTAGAGTCAGCATCTTAGAGTTGCAGAAAAGACATCACCCCTGTTCCTGATCCCCAGTGCAGAAGGGAATGGGAGCAAACACTCCTGACAAGAAGGACCGGAGGGACTAAAGCACTATAGACAAGGGATTATGCCGCCTCCTCTTCCCTTGACTTGACTTCCCTTCCCTTGCCTCTTCCTCTTCCCTAGGATGGGACAGCTAGCAGTCACTTTTTATTTAGACTTGGGATCACCAATGCATTTATATAATTTTACTTTCCTTCCTTGGCCTAGTAGTATTGAGAAACTCGCTCATACCTTGCAATACAGGCACTTGGAGACATGTTGGAAGTAACTGGATGTGTTTCTAATAAACAAATACAGAATCTCATATTTCATTTTATTTGTAGATTCCAAACTGGAATGCTTCGCTGTAGCAAACTGAAAACCAAACCTAGGCCAAACAGATTAAATCTGGTTGCACCAGTGTTTGTTTTATTTTTAAAGAGCAGCAACATGTTCAGAAAGTACAACTGAGTACAACTCAGTTCTTTATCATTTTATAAAATTAAAAGCCTTAAAACTCCCTTTAGTTGTACAGTTTATTTAATGTGGTGAAGTACTTGCAGCTGTGTGGCTGGATTTTCAAGACTTCTGTGATCATCCTTCAAAAACTGGCATTCAAAAACTGGCAAGTTAACTCATTTTAAAGATAATATTTTAAGAATGGGCTTTTGCTTTGACTGGCAAACCCTGTGCAACAATTATAAATATTCAATACAGAAGCAAGCACAACTGATTACAATTTGATGTATTCCCATCCATGTATTTGATGTGCCGTATTTTTCGCTCTATAAGATGCACTTTTTTCCCCCTCAAAAGGGGAAATGTCTGTGCGTCTTATAGAGCAAATGCATGTGTGCCCAACGCCCAGGACGCTGCTAGCCTGCCTGCACCACGTGCCACCACCTGACCGGCACGCTCGGTGCGCCCTGCTCCGCCCCCCCTCCGGTGCAGGTGAAAGCTGTGCCGCTCAGGGGGAGAAGTGCAGAGGAGGAGGAGCCGCAGGCTTTAACCCGCCAGCTGCACGGAGAGACGGACTGCTCACCCCCACCTTCTGAGAAGACCTGCTGCGCTGCCCAGAAGACCACCGCCGGCACGCTGCCGGCTCCATGTGGCACTACCTGGCCGGCACGTGCTTGGCACGCCCTGCTCCACCCCCCCTCCTCCGGCACAGGTGAGAGCTGTGCTGCTCAGAGGGAGAGGTGAAGAGGAGGAGGAGCCTCGGGCTTTAACCCGCCGACTGCACAGAGAGACGGACTGCTCACCCCCACCACCTGGGAAGACCTGCCACCATGCCGCCTGGGAGACCTCCGCCAGCACGCTGCCAGCCCCATGTGGCACCACCTGGTCGGCACGCGCTCGGCACACCCTGCTCCATCCACCCCCTCCGGCGCAGGTGAGAGCTGTGCCGCTCAGGGGGAGAGGTGTGGAGGAGGAGGAGCCGCAGGCTTTAACCCGCCGGCTGCACGGAGAGACGGACTGCTCACCCCCACCGCCTGGGAAGACCTGCCGCTGCCGCGCCGCCTGGAAGACCACTGCCGGCACACTGCCAGCCCCACGTGGCACCACCTGGCCCTCACGCACTCGGCACGCCCTGCTCCACCCCCTCCTCCAGCGCAGGTGAGAGCTGTTAATCACAGGTCAGTGTGTGTTTTCAAATGGCAACCCGTCTTTTAATGAAGCCCATGGGGAAGTGATGGGGAATGTGCCTGTGATTATCAGGAAGCTTTCCATGGATCAGTTATCTGTTAGTTGATCAGACACTTTTTTTTTTAGGATCAGTGGATATTTGAACAGCATTACCTTCGTGTATGAAGTTTATTCTTCAAAGGCTACTTAGTCCACTGTGTGTTTGATTTACCGCACAATATCTCATTTTTTGTCAGAAGTTTTTTTCTATTATTTACTAGTAGGGTAGCGTGGGCATTACTGGCTTTTTTAGATTTGTTATTGAATTGTCTGCAGCAGCTCTTGTCCAACTGGTGTAGATTGTGGATTCCTTCAATAATTCCACTACTGACTAAGAAAGTGATGTCAGTGGTTGTGAGCAACAGAGCTTCATAAATTCTGACTCTAGTGATGATGAGTTCTATGGGTTCAACGAAAACTAGAAGAGTACTCGAACTTTAAAGTCTGTCTTTTGTTAATGACAGTGATGATGGTTCTTAGTGCCACTGTTGACTGCTGTTCACTTTACAAGGTTGAAATACGGTATTACTGTATTCTGTTATAGTTTATTATACTATAATTTAGTATAGTAAACCATTTGATTCAGAATATTTTTTTCTTGTTTTCCTCCTCTAAAAACTAGGTGCGTCTTATGGTCAGGTGCGTCTTATAGAGCGAAAAATACGGTAGTTACAACCAGTCTGTTTTACTTACATTCTAAGGCCTATCCAATAGATATGCTCTTTTATTACTTACAGTGCAAAGACAACAGTATTCAGTGATGAATTCAAGTACAGTAAGACACTAATGAGTTGTATCTGATGGTGTCATTGCAAGACTTTTATTGTTTTCAAAACCTCCATTTTTACCCTTACACAATTGTCAAAAATAACTGTTCACATAATCTGTTGCACAAAGTGTTACATAAGCCACTGCACAGGGTTTTCACAAGGGGTTGCTGAATTCATTACAATTCATTAGACTTGGCATTGCTCACACTCATTGTACCAGTTCTGATAGTGGTTGTCAACAGCAATTGTAATTTTTCCACTAGCATAGCACTGGAGATGACCCAATTTATCTGGTATTTGAAGTTTTTCAACCTATTTATGAATGTTTGAGATTTAACTGGTTAAAGTATGACAAATTATTTAAATTAATGTGCATTTTGTGAAAAAATCAGTGTAATCCTCTGTTCAGGTAAATCATTACTATGCTGTTATGCACCTCAATCTGAAGCTGACGGGTGCAACCAGTTCTACCTTGCTTGATAAGTCAGTAGCTCAATCAGAATTTGATACCAGGTATAGTTTCAGTATTTTTTCCACTATATTATAGAAATCCTGTATTGTCAGTTGGTCATTCCATTACATAATTGCTGTGCTGTACATGAAGTACTTCCTTATTGGCAGGCCATCAAGCTCTTTGTAGGCTCAGATGTTTGAAAAAAGTATTTGGCTTGAAATCAACGCTATTTACATTGCCATACAGGGCTGATATCAAGGGTAGGTATAGTGGGACAGCTGTTGAGGGTCCACACCTCCAGGGATTTGCTGACAAGAGTTCCCTGGAATTATTCCTCCTCTTCACCATTGCAACATATTTTTCTTCGTCGTGGCCTCTGTGCATCACACAATATGGGTGCTGTGCCTGCACAGTGCCTTTGGCCTGAAGATTACAAGCTAACGGTTTATTTTGGCGGGAAAAAGCTCCGCTCCCCCTCCCCCACAGCCTATAAAGAGCGGAGCGTCCGCCATTTTGTTCAGTCTTTGCGACCGCCGTTCTCTGTGCCTCGTGCCGCTTTCGACTGTCGCTTTGATCGTTACTCGTAGCCTGTTTTTTCACCTTTTATTCCCAGTTTTATACCCGATAGTTCTTGTTAGCTCTAGTTATTTCTACAGTTCTTCTTAACTCTAGTTATTCTGCAGTTCTATCGTTCTACCGTTCTATTTTCTTCTTCTAAAAAAAAAAAACCAAAAATATATTCTTACCCTCTGCACTGTCTCCCTTTTTCTTCTTGCGATGGCGCAGTGAGCGGCCTTCCGCAAATGTGCGGAGTATGGGTTGAAGATGTCACCATCTGACCCGCACGACCTATGCCTCCTCTGCTTGGGGGAGGGGCATAGGACCGACAGGTGCTCCCACTGTCTGGCCTTCTCCAAGCAGGCCAGAAAAAATCGGGAGAACCGCCTCCGGAGGCTCCTGTGGGATCGGGCTCTTATGCAGTCCAACCCACTGGTTGCCGCTCCAAAGCCTGGCCCGGCTGCGGTGGTCCCGCCCTCCTGCCCATCGGACGAAGGTGCCTCTACTTTGAGGGCCCCACCAGCTTCTCCCAAAAAGAAAAGCGAGAAGCGCAAGCATGCCGATGCCAACAAATCGGCCAAAAAGGCCAGGAAAGAGAAGCCCTCTAAGCCAGCCCGAAAGGCGGAAGATCTGGACCGACCCCGACACCGTGTCTCGGGTTCGACGGCAGCGTCGGTACCGGCGCCAACCACCGTTCCGACCCCACCCGAGCCGGCGCTCCAGGTAGCCATAAGGGTTACCCCTCAAGGGTCTCCCCATCGTGTGGCTGACCCCCCGACCAGACCACTTCCATCTCTCCAGCAGGGCTCGATCTCTGACGGAGAGATTTAGGACTCTCCCCCCAGGGCTAGGTCACCAACGCCTATGCCCATGGCCACACTGGAGGTGGATGTCGTCGAATCCCCGCCCAGGGCCCGCCGGAGCCGCTCCAGGGAGCAACGATCTGAGCAATTCGAGGACTGGCGTCGCTCCTACTACCCATCTTGGGGTGAGCCATACTCGACTGGGTACTATCCCGCGCCGAGGGATTGGTCCCCACCATGCTCTCGTGATCGCCCGTTGCCTCTGGATCCAAGGTGCATGTCCCCGGTACCCCGGGATGAAAGCAGCCGGTCCACTTCACCAGTGGAGTCTTCTTCGGCCCCTCCGTACTACGGCGCAGACTCCGATGACTCAGATGTCGATTCTACCTCTCCCGACGTCGCGGTGACCTCCCAGGGCCCCGCATCACCAGACGAGTCGCACGTTTCTTTTGCGGAGCTGATGTCCAGGCTCGTCCAATCCCTGGACATCAACGCCGTCCAGCGGCCAGGACCGTCTACAGATAAAATCTATGACATCATCCGCAGGAGCAGTCCACCTCCATTGTCCTGCCCTTGATCACAACCCTACGGCAGGCGATGACCCAGCCCTGGGACTTGCCCTCTTACCCTTAACCAACATCGCGGAGGTACGAAGCCATGTACCGGGTTCGGGAGGAGGACATACCATTCCTCCTCCGACACCCCAAGCCTAACTCGGTCATGGTGGAGTCCTCCCAAGGAAGAGAGGCAAGGGGTCACACCGTGCCACGAGATAAGGAGGGCCGCAAGATCGACTCCCTGGCCAGGAGGGTCTACGCAGCTTCAGGCTTGGGGCTGCGTATCTCAAACTACGAGGCGACGTTGGCGAGATACC